AGCTTTTACTTTCGATAAATCATACTGGTCCTTTGATAAAAATGATCATAATTACGCTTCTCAGGCACATTTATATAACGACCTCGGAGAAGATCTTTTAAACCACGCTTTTGAAGGATATAATACTTGTATTTTTGCATGTATGTATGTTGATAAAACTTTTGTTCAGACGTAATCAATAATCATCTGATAATCTAATAATGTCACATGCTTTGTCTATCTAGATGGTCAGACTGGTGCTGGTAAATCCTATTCTATGGTATGGCCAAAGATAATTATTTCTAATAATTAATCCCCTTTGGGTCTCCATATTAACATCATGTGTTCATTTCTCTGACCTGCAAAGATGGGATACGGAGAAGATAAAGGAATTATCCCCCTCACATGTTGCGAGTTATTTAATAGAATTAACCGTAATCAAGATACTAATGTTACATACCAAGTTCAAGTTTCTTATATTGAGATTTACAACGAACGCGTTCGCGATTTACTGAATCCTAAGAATAAAGAAAATCTTAAAGTTAGAGAACATCCTGCTCTTGGGCCATATGTTGAAGACTTATCCAAGTTAATCGTCAACTCGTTTGAAGACATAGAAAATTTGATGGACGAGGGTAATAAGGTACTTTGAAATAATAATGATACATAACATTATTCGATTATTGTTATTATTTGGTCCACTAACATTTAGTGTATGGTTAGGCAAGAACTGTGGCTGCAACAAACATGAACGCAACTTCAAGTCGTTCGCATGCCGTATTTACATTATTACTAACTCAGAAACGGCACGATGAAGAGACTAAAATGGATGCCGAAAAAGTGTCTCGTATTAGGTATTAAGATTGTCTGTTATTTTATTTGACAACTCCATCTCTTTAAAGTTATTATTTACTATTCCGCTTTATCTTTCAAGTCTTGTGGATTTAGCCGGTTCGGAACGTGCTAATGCTACAGGTGCAACTGGACAACGTCTAAAAGAAGGTGCTAACATTAATAAATCATTAACTACTCTGGGTAAAGTCATTGCAGCCTTGGCTCAACAGTCTAGTGGCGGTGGTGGTTCTAAAAAAGATTCGTTCGTTCCTTATAGAGACTCTGTAAGATAACTATACTTATTTAGATAACTAATGCAATATTTGTTCAAGGAAATTAACTAAAAAATTGATTATAGGTCTTGACGTGGTTACTTAAAGACAGTTTGGGAGGTAACTCCAAAACAGCTATGATCGCCGCCATTTCACCAGCAGACTATGATGAAACACTCAGTACTCTTCGTTATGCTGATGCCGCAAAAAAAATCAAAAACAAGGCTGTTGTTAATGAAGATCCTAATGCGAGACTCATTCGTGAGCTTAAAGAAGAATTACAAATGTTACGAAGCAAATTGGGTGTCGAACCAGGCGAAGTTTCTTATGATTCTGGTGTTCCTGACAGTAAACAAGTCATCACATTTAAAGATCCGGAGGGTAACGTTATTAAGAAAACAAAGGAAGAATTATTCGAGCAACTGCAATCGTCAGAGAAGTTGATGAAAGAAGTAAACGAAACTTGGCAGGAAAAGATAAGGCGTACGGAAGAAATTCAACTGGAACGAGAAAAAACATTGGAAGAACTTGGAATCATGGTCGAAAAAAATGCCGTTGGTGTACATCCTCCTAAAAAGGTGCCACATCTTGTCAATCTCAATGAAGATCCTCTTATGTCAGAGTGTTTGGTTTATCAAATTAAGAATGGAATCACGCGCGTGGGCCGCC